GGAGGGGGAGGAGGGGCAGGAGGAAGGGGAGGAAGAGGAGGGGGAGGAGGAGCAGGAGCAAGAGGGGAAGGGGGAGGAGGAGGAGCGCGAGGAGAAGGGAGAGGAGGGGAGGAGGAGCAGGAGGAGAAGGGGGAGGAAGAAGAGAGGGAGGAGGGGGAGGAGGAACAGGAGGAGAAGGGGGAAGAGGAGCAGGAGGAACTGGAGGAGGGGAGGAGGAGGAAGGAGGAAGAGGAGCAGGAAGAAGAGGAAGAAGCAGGAGGAAAAAGAGCATAGGAAGAGGAGAGGAAGAGGAGGGGGAGGAAGAACAGGAGAAACAGGAGGAGGAGGAGAGGAGGAGGAAGGGGAGGAGGAGCAGGAGAAGGGGAAGAGGAGCAGGAGGAGCAGGAGGAGCAGGAGGAGGGGGAGGAGGGGGAAGGAGGAAGAGGAGCAGGAAGAAGAGGAAGAAGCAGGAGGAAAAAGAGCAACAGGAAGAGGAGAGGAAGAGGAGGGGGAGGAAGAACAGGAACAGGAGGAGGAAGATGAGGAGCAGGAAGAGAAGGAAGAGGAGGAGGAGGAGCAGGAGGAAGAGGAGGAGCAAGAGGAGGGGAAAGGAGGAGGGGGAGCAGGAGGAGGAAAAGGAGGAGGAGCAGGAGGAAGAGAAGGAAGGGGAGGAGGAGGGGGAGAAGGAGCTGCAGGAGGAGAGGCAATAGGAGGAGGGGAGGGGGAGGAGCAAGAGGAGGGGAATAAGAGGAGAACAGGAGGATGAGGAAGAGGAGCAGGAGAAAGAGAAGGAGGGGGAGGAGGGAAATAGGAGGAGGGGGAGAAGGAGGAGCAGGAGCAAGAGAAAGAAGAGGAGGAGGGAGAGGAGGGGGAGCAGGCAGAAGAGGAAGAGGAGGAAGCAAAACCTTCCCCGGCCCCATACCCACAGTATGCTGCTCACAAGAAACACAGTTGAGGGGCTGGAGAGATGGCTCAGTGGTCTAAAGCACCTACTTGGAACAAGCTTGGCAAAGCACAGGGACCGAGGTTCCATCCCCCAGCACCACATGCCAGCCAGCCGCGCCCCCTGGTGGGCTGAGCTGGCCACACACACACACACACACACACACACACAATAAATAAATGTTTAAAAAAAAATTTAAAAAAAAAAAAAAAGAAACACAGTTGAAAAACCAAGGCACAAATAGGTTGGAAGTAAGAGCGTTGGGAAAGAGATTCCCTGTAACCTCAGTAAAAGAGAGCTGACAGGTCCATGGATAAAGCAGGTTTCAGGGCAGCGCACCATGCAAGGGCAGCCAGGTTATGGCCCAAGGACAAGAGGGGCCTGTGACAGGCATGCGACCGTCTTGTGTACACAGTGACAGAGCTGTGCAGCTGCGAGGCACACTAGACAGCTGGCAACCGCTGCTGGGCCCTGCAGCCTCTCAGTGCCCGACTGGGTCTGGTGGAAGCCCCAAAGGTCCAGTCGATCTGAGCGGCACCAGCAGGCTGCAGATTCTAATCTGCTGCACAGCGCTCAGCCCAGCCAGGTAGGACACACATTCTCCTCCAGAGGAGAAAAGCCATGAAGATAGGCAGTGTGCAGGCTGAACCCCACGGCCAATGGGTCACAATCGCCCTGTGCTTCGTGGCCACAGGGAGTGGCATCCCGGCCGATGGGAGAGTTGGCATCCAGTGTGCTCATAGCCGTGGGCCAGCACCAGGGTGGGCAGCTCCTCCCTTGCCCTCCAGCAGAGGAGACAGGCGACACTCACCTGCAGAGGCTGGCTTGCCGTCCACACTGGCCTGCCCCCCCTCAGGGTCCCAGGAGCACCTGGTCACATCTCTGCCCATGGCTGTGGGTGACCTGTCAGGAGGGAAGGTGCGCCACAGATGTGTCACTGGGGTCTGCACCTGAAACTTGTCCTGGGGGACCCCCTGCCCGCCCTCCTCAGCACCCAGAGGCTGTCACCCTGGGCCTTGGCCTCGCCTGGATCTGGCCTGCTTGGGGCTCTGGGTTGGTGTCGTGGGCGCTGGGCCCTCAGGGACCTGTGGCTGCTCCGGCTTTGAAGCCATCCCCAGCCGGCCGCAGGCCTCACATTTCTCCATCAGTTGCTGTAGGGACAGGGAGGCGGCGCTGCGGGCGAGCTCGGGGTGCAGGACACCTCCCTGCCGTGGCAGGAATCAGGGGTCTCAGGCGGAAGGGTGGCACCCGGCAGGCGCAAAGCCGTGGGAGCTAGAGGGGTGGCGGCAGCCCCAGATGCAGAAGCGCCGGCCGGCTCCGAGGACGGTGGAGGCCAGCTGTGCGCTGTTCGGCTGAGCACCTGGGGGGCGACGCTGGAATCCAGGGGAGGAGCAGAGCCCAAGGTGGAGGGAGGGGCTGCCAGGCGCCTCGGCGCTCCTGCGAGTCTGAGGCCCCACGTCTCATGCACACACGCACACGCGGCTCCCCGGGCTCTGCTACCCTCCTGGGATGACGGCCCAGGTGTGCTGTAGCTGTGTGTCCCTCCCTCAGCAGCCCTCCACGATGGACAGTGGGGAAAGCCATCTCCCCGCAGGTGTATGCCACCAGCCAGGCCCCAGCAGCCAGTGTCCCTGGCCCAAGCAGGGCACTGTCTCCCCAGGCAAGGCCAGGTGCTGGGCTGCCTGTCTGGTGGGGTTCCAGGAAGCTGCACGGGATGGTGTCTGTCTTCCTGCAGCTCTGGGGCCTAACAGTCCTGGGGCAGAGACAGTGGGAGGCTGAGCAGACGCCTGTGATCCGAGACTAGCCTGGCCTGTGGTGCCACAGGGCCCGAGTGGCAGAATGTCTGGACCCCACTCTGAGGCTTTGCGGTGGGGTCTCCCCAGAGTCCCTACAGGAGCTATGCCTGCTGCTGAAGGGCAGGCCTTGGGAAGGGCTGGGCAGGAGGTGACCGGGTCAGGACAGGCAGCGGGG